AGGACGGCCTGTGTTGCTTCTGTAAACCAGTTAATGAATCCAAAGGAAGAAACACACGCACACACACGCTGTCAGGGCTCCAGCATCCACCCCCATTCAAATCTTGAGTCTCTAGCCGCCATCTCTCAGAGTTTAAAGATTTATTAGGAGCGAGCATGCCGGTGCTACCTGGGTGCAGCTGACTCTGAGACACATCATTCATTTCCCCCTTGACCTTGGTCTTCCCCCACCCCCTGGGTGTATATTCTCCAATGGGACACATCCATAGCCAAGAGTCATCCATCGTGCTCTCTAGTAATAATCTTGCGGGCCAGAAGCTTCGCCTAGAAATTATCTATGAAAGCATTTAAGGAATGCACTACTTCCCCTACTCTCTTTCTGATGGCAACTCTAAAAGACCAGAGAAATATTTTTGAGTTCACACACACACACACACACACACACACACACACACACTGCTCAAGGAAGCCCATCCAGTGGTGGGATTCACATTTTTTTTTTTACTACTGGTTCTGTGGCCGTGGCTTGGTGGGCGTGGCAGGGGAAGGATATACTGCAAAATCCCCATTCCCTCCTCACCCCACTAACCTGCTTTCCAGCTCCGTTCTCCTGGGCAGGGCAACCAAAGAAGACCTAGCCAATCAGCTGTGGGCGTGGCTTGGTGGGCGTGGTGTTCTGTGGGCGTGGTGTTCTGTGGCCGTGGCTTGGTGGGCATGACAGGGGAAGGATACTGCAAAATCCCCATTCCCTGCCCACCCCACTAACCTGCTTTCCAGCTCCGTTCTCCTGGGCAGGGCAACCAAAGAAGACCTAGCCAATCAGCTGTGGGCGTGGTGTTCTGTGGGCGTGGTGTTCTGTGGCCGTGGCTTGGTGGGCGTGGCAGGGGAAGGTTACTGCAAAATCCCCATTCCCTCCTCACCCCACTAACCTGCTTTCCAGCTCCGTTCTCCTGGGCAGGGCAACCAAAGAAGACCCAGCCAATCAGCTGTGGGCGTGGCTTGGTGGACGTGGTGTTCTGTGGGCGTGGCTTGGTGGGGGTGGCAGGGGAAGGATATACTGCAAAATTCCCTTTCCCTTCCCCCCCCCACTAACCTGCTTTCCAGCTCCGTTCTCCTGGGCAGGGCAACCAAAGGAGATCCAGCCGATCAGTTGGGACTCAATGGGAGGCAGAGAAGAGATGGGGTTGGCGGGGCCAGTCAGAGGTGGGATTGGCCGGTTCTTCAAACGACCCAAAATTTCTGCTACCAATTCTTCCAGAACCGGTCAGAACCTGCTGAATATCCACCTCTGAGCCCACCCAATTCTGCAGCATAACACAGGCTATTAAAAATATAAATTTCCTTTTTGGAAAAAAAAATCACAGGCAGTCAGCAAAAGAACACTAGTTCTTCATTGAATAGTAAATGGGATAATTGCAAATAAGTTGGTCAGCCCTGGAGTTGGATCGACAGGTAGTCCTTGATTTGCAACCATCCGTTTAGTGACCGAAGTTACAACAGCATTGAAAAACTGACCATTTTTTCACACTTAACGACCGTTGCAGCATTCCCCATAGTCACATGATCAAAATTCAGGCGCTTGGCAACTGACTCGTACTTACAACGGTTGCAGTGTCCCGTGATTCTTCTTTTACAACCTTCTGGCAAGCCAGATCAAAGGGGAAGCCAGTTTCACTTAACAACCCTATCACTAAATTAACACCTGCAGTGACTCACTTAACTGTGGCAGGAAAAGTCGTAAAATGGGGTTAAACTCACGTGAACAACTGTGTCGTTGTAGCAAAAGAAACTTTGGGCTCAATTGTGGTCGTAAGTCGAGGACTGCCTGAGGGCAATTTTGTAGGGCCGGCCATTTGCCAACCCAGCTCTATTGCTGAGAGAAATCCTAGCTGGTAGAAGCAGCTGCAGCAGAAGGAAAAACTTTTTCTAGTAGGGTATAAACAAATCCATTTTAGGATCATCTTACAGAGCTTATTCTAATTCCGCCCATGAACTGAAGATGCCAAGTGAGATTTGAGCACCTACACGGAGCAGGGCTAAACTTTGTCCAGCTAGCAGGTCCATGGCGCAGATTTCTGTATTTTAATGTCAGTCGTTGCTTGCCATGATTGAAAAATAATGGACTCCTTTCTGTGAGAGGAAAACGGAAGAATGTTGTTGCCATTTTAGAATAGAGTAGAATTCTTTATTGGCCAAGTGTGATTGGACACAAGGAATTTGTCTTTGGTGCAAATGCTCTCAGTGTACATAAAAGAAATGATACATTCATCAAGAATCATCAGGTCCAACACTTAATGATAATAGTCATAGGGTACAATAAGAATAGAATAGAATAGAATAGAATAGAATAATGGAACAGAACAGGACAGAACAGAACAGAATAGAATAAAATTCTTTATTGGCCAAGTGTGATTGGAAACACAAGGAATTTGTCTTGGTGCAAATGTTCTGAGTGTACATAAAAGAAAAGAGACGTTCGTCAAGAGTCAAGAATCATCAGGGACAACACTTAATGATAGTCAGAGGGTACAATAAGCAATCAAATCATACTAGGAAACAGTCCATATAAATCGTTAGGATACAAGTGACAAAGCTGCAGTCATACAGTCACAAGTGGGAGGGGATGGGTGATAAGGAGTGATGAGAAGATTAACAGTAATAGTAGTGCAGACTTTGTAAATAGTTGGACAGTGTTGAGGGAATTATTTGTTTAGCAGAGTGATGGCGTTCAGGAAAAAAACTCTCCTTGTGTCTATTTTCTGAAGAACTGTGTCAGAGTATATACATGAACGGGAATAGAGCTTTGTAACAAGGCAGCCAATAAATAGGCATAGCCGCTAAATCAGCCAATGAGAACTGTTTGGAAACTGAAACTAGAATTAGCCTAGGCGTGGCTCTATATTAAGCTCTGCAACTCTGAAGCTATGTTAAGCTCTGAGTCTGTCTATTGAAGATGAAAGTAGCTTCCTTGCTTACCTGCCTGGTGAACTAAAGTGAAACCGATGTCTGTTTCTGAGCTCCTGAGTTGCTACTGAAGTTACTTGCAACATGTTTCTGTCTGAGTTGGCTCCATGTTGGAGAAATCTACAACTGGTTTGTAAAATCTATGTTTATAAAGATGTTAAATGAAGAATCATCCATCTCTGTTTATTTTTCTGGTGCTGAATTAACGCTGCAAAAAACTGTGAACAAACTATGAAATTCTTGGTGCCCTCTGAGCTTTGTGCTGCTGTCGTTACCTAGTTGGGTCATGAAACGTCTGAAAACCACCAAGCTTAGAGAGCACCAAGGACCTCATAGTCCTCCTCCTCCTCCTCCTCCTCCTCCTCCTCCCCCCCCCCCCCCCCCCCCCCCTGATTCCATTGAGTTGAATCAAAATATTTTATTGTCACTTTGAATGTACACAGAACACATTAAAATGAAATTTTATTGCATACAGCTCCCAAAGGGTCTCCACCTCTAATATACACTCTGTTAACATGACAAAATAAATAAATATGCATATACCTACATATATGACACAGAGAAACCACATAATATTTCAGATGTATGCATGTACATGGCAAGAGAAACGAATCTTGCGAGTTTGCCAGGCGGATGGCCTAGGGAACAAAGCTGTTCCAAGGATCTGGTAGCCCTGCTAGAAATACTTCCAAACTCCTCCCAGAGGGGAGCAATAGACACAGACTGTGAAGTGGCTACGTGGGGTCTCTCACGCTGCTTCCAGCTCTTAAGCACATAGCTTAAAAAAGGAACTTTTACTGAGAGAGAGAGAGAGTGTGGTTGAAATTCAGGAGAAATCTGAAAAAGCCCCCGCCAAGTACAAAACAGTTCTTCTGTTTCACCAAACACGTGCACCCTGGCCAGTCCCCTGGCAGCCAATGTGATGCCACAAGGTTTTTTTTTGAGAACTCTGAGGTGCTAGGCAGCTAATGGTCCACTCTCAGGACATGATGGCCTTGAAACCAGGCTGGAACCAGCTGGGAGAGAGTTACAGCAAACAGTTAACAGCAAAGGCATGCGAAAATGCCAGCAAGCCATCCTCCTCTTCCTCCCTTCCCACAGAATGGCAGGACACAATGTGGACCTGATACCTCCTTCTCCTGCTCTCCACAAACCCCACTCCCTTCTAGCACTGATGACCTTCCCTACTAGGGTCACGAAACGTCTGCCAAAAAAACAACCAAGCTCCGAGATCACCAACGGTCATAAGTGTGAAAAACGTACGTCACTTTTCTCAGTGCCGTTGTGACTTTGAACGGTCACTAAATGAACCATTGTAAGTTGAAGACTATCCCTACAGAGATCCAGTACTGTTGGAAGCATTTCTAGGTCCAAAATGCCTTAAATCGGGGGTCTCCAACCTTGGCAGCTTTAAGCCTGGCGGACTTCAACTCCCAGAATTCAAGTTGCCAAGGTTGGAGACCCCTGCCTTAAATCATACTCGTAGTTGGCATCTCTACATTTACGTCCTCACGTTAAGGCAATGGATGCGTATCGTTTGTGACCAGAGTAAGTGGCCATTTGTAAACTAACACAGCTAAGACTTCGTACTCACACTTCCAACCCTCCCTGGTCACGTGATCACCAGTTGCGGCCTTCCCCACCGACTTCCAACAGGTAGGAGAGTGGGGAGAGTTGGAGTCCTTTAGTGATTGTGCGATTGAGTTAACAACTGCAATGATTCATTTATCAGCTGTGGCAAAAGTTATCAAATCCAGCATGATTCACTTAACAACTGTCTTGCTTAATGGAAATTGTGGTTGTAGGTTGAGGACTATCTGTATTTGTTGGTATCTACATATAGGAAGCAACCCGAATTCGTTCTCTGCTTGCGGATCATTTTAGTTTGCTTCAACTATTTGAAACCCTGAACATGGTTAGTCGAGACTGGTGAAAATGGAAGATTTCAAGGAGTCAAAGTTTTTGAGGGGGAGCTTCACAAATGTTCTTAAATGTTGATTGTGGCCTTCTATTTTTTTTTTCTCTCCCTTTATGAAGGGTTCACCCGTAAAACCTACAAACAACCGAGAGTTTCCTAGGTCGGAAGATGCAAGAAAATACCTCCATCAAAATAGGTGAGAACTTTTATTTCATAATAGTTTAAGAACCTTTGAGGGAGAGTTTAAACTTAATGTATAAAACACAAGTCCCAACTCTCATTTTTTAAGATGAGTCACCCAGTTGGCTTTCATGCCAAAGGTGGGACTAGAACTCACTGTCTCCTAGTGATTGGCCAAAAGTCCTCCAGCCACTTTGGTGTAGGGGTTAAGATACTGGCTTAGAAACCAGGACACAGTGAATTCTAGTCTCGCCTTAGCCATGAAAGCCAACTGAGTGACTTTAGGCCAATCACCAGGAGTCTGTGAGTTCTAGTCCCGCCTTAGCCATGAAAGCCAACTGGGTGACTTT